GTACAGCGACCCTTAAAGCAACAGAATGGAACCAACAGTGTTATACGAGGAGGAGGACCTGGATAGCCGGGATGCATTAAGGAAAGGCATCTGGTATCAGGCCCTGGATAATGTACAATACCAGCGGGGTGAGAGCCTGCCCAGTGAAGAGCAGCGGTTGCAGAAGCAAGTGGCCCTGCGGATGCCCTTCCTGGGAGAGCAGCCCCTGGAGGAATGGGTGAAGGAACTAGAGCACCGGGTATGGCAGGAGTTATGGCTGGAGGATGCCTACCAGGCGCTCTGGTGGTATATGGCACAGTATATACCCTGGACAGCCGAGCATGACAAGCCAGAGGGAGAGGAGTTTAATGGTCCTGGCTCGTTATGGGAGTCCTTTGCAGAGCCTGACTTCGGGAGCCCTGCACAGACCAGACTTCAGGACATTTTCTACGAGAGGGAGGCTAGGCATGACTGGGATGACCCCCATGAGGTAGAGCAAGACCTGGCTCACCTAGCAACCCTGGAGTGGGAACTGGAGCAGAACTACCGAGATCTCTTCCACTCCATTGGAAAGGCTCAGCAGGACAGCAAGGTGACAGACCCAGATCCAGACCCCTTCAGCTGGGCAGATATGACAGAAAATTACTGGGAAGAACCCCAGGTGGCTGGTGGAGATGGGACCGAGGTCTCTCCACCGGTCCTGCAGGGAATTGGGAGCCCAGTCTCCATTCCTCAGTGGGAAATATTGCAGGGAATTGGGAGCCCGAGCTCCATTCCCCAGCGGGAGATATTGCAGGGAATTGGGAGCCCAAGTTCCATTCCCCAGCGGGAGATATTGCAAGGAAATGGGAGCCCAAGCTCCATTCCCCAGCGGCAGGCTGAGTTACAGGGGGCAGAGACAAGTAGTCCTGTCCACCAGCGGCAGTGTTCCTTGCAGGGAGAGGAGAGCAGCGTCCTCCCTCAACAGTGGCAGGGTGAGCTACTGGGCAGTCTGATCCCCAGTGGCAGTGTGATTTATTGGGAATTGGGATCCCGGTCTCCATTCCCCAGCGGGAGATATTGCAGGGAATTGGGAGCCCAGTCTCCATTCCCCAGCGGCAGTACGAATTACAGGGAATTGGGAGCCCAGTCTCCATTCCCCAGCGGCAGAGTGTCCTATCGGGAATAGAGAGCCCAGTCTCCTTTCCCCAGCAGCAGGACTCTGTATTGGGAGCAGAGACAGTCGGTCTCCCTCCCCCGCGGCTGGAAGTATGTATGGGAGAGGAGCTTGTTACCCCTCTCCCCAGCGGCAGCTTAATGTACAAAGGGGAGACAGTAAGCCCCACAACTGTGCAGATGGGACCGTGGTCTCTGCATGTACAGCACAGGGGGTAGGGACGGTCGGTTCTGCCCCCCAGCGACAGGGCTGTTTAGCCAAAGGGGAGACAGTCGGTCTCCAGCAGCAGGGCTGTGTGTCTAAAGGGGAGACAGTCGGTCTCCAGCAGCAGGGCTGTGTGTCTAAAGGGGAGACAGTCGGTCTCCCCCTCCAACAACCAGGCTTCAACCAGGCTACCTTCCCAGTAGCGCTGGCACCAGGGCAGAGTACCGCTGGTCTCTGCCCACTCAGCAACCCACCAAGTCAGCATACCCGTACCCAGCAAAGCCGTGGTGAGGCCCCTAGATATGGACAAGCTTCTCCTCTACCCCGGTGTATTAACCATTTATTGTGGGTGGGCTGTGCTGTTGATTGTGTTTTGTGGGTGGGCTGCTGGACTAACAAGGGCACTGACCGGCAGGAGGTCAGATACCCTGTTAGTCTGTTTGGAAAAGGGGAGAGATGTGACGAGAGCAATCTCGCCACATTACATTGGAGAAGCCTGGTTGCTCGCCTGTTGCCTTTGGATTATGGCCCCATGTTAAAAGGCTTGATTTTCCCCTGCAAAGACAAGAAAGCCGGGTCATTTGGTGCTTGCCCTGTTTGAGCAGTGATACCCCAGACAGCTATGCCATGGAGCCCATTCGTATAATGAAAGACTATGGGAAAGACTTTGGCTCCATGGCAATTGAACTGTATGTGTGTGCTCTGATTCCAGTTTGACTGCTAGGAGTGTAAACCTATTTGTATGTTTTTTCCTATTCGGCTGTTTACAGCATTCATATGGTTTCCTGTTCGGCGGATTGGTGTTCTGCAGTAGCTGTGCCTGCATCTCTGGAAGGGGAAGATCTACTAAACGGTGGTTTAACCCTTTTATGCCTGGGGGTGCCGTTACAGTGTGTGTTTGTGTGTAGTGTGTGTATACAATGAATGCAGTGTGTGTGTATATGATGCAGAGTGTGCGTGTGTTTGTGTAGTGTGTGTAAACTGGGTGGGAGGAGAGCATTTTTATTATTTAAATTTTTAAAAATTTTATTTTAATATAATTCTTTTATTTTTTTTAAAAATATATTATTATTTTAATATTTAATTTTGTAACTTTTCTTGCCCCCCCTCCCTGCTTGTTACCTGGCCAGGGAGGGGGGGCTATATGATTCCCTGGTGGTCCAGTGGCATGGGCTGTGCAGTGGTGGAGCCGGCAGCAAGTGTTTACTTACTTTTGCAGCAGCTCCGTTCACCTCTGTTCCGTTCAGCTCCCAGTGTAAATCTCGCAGTCTGCGTGCCGCGCAGAGCATTGCCGCGGGTCTCGCGAGATTTACACTGGGAGCTGAACGGAACCGAGGTGAACGGAGCTGCTGAAAAGGTAAGTAAACGCTTGCTGCCGGCCCCCAACAGGACCGCCGGGTTTCTAATGAGCCCAGCGGTCCTGGTCTGTATTATGGCAATGTAAGTTGCCATAATACAGACAGTGACTCGACTATAAGCCGAGGGGGGCTTTTTCAGCACAAAAAATGTGCTGAGAAACTCGGCCTATACTAGAGTATATACGGTAAATTCTGAAACGCACAATAAAAGTATAAGGGAGATTAGTATGAGAAGGGGAATGCAAAATTACAGGGGGGGAAACACATGCATGCATGGAGATGTGTTGAAAATTGTTGGGGGGTGTTTTGTTTTTGTTTTTTGTGTGTATTTATTTATTTAGTGGGACCGAAATTATTGTATAACTTACTGATAATTAGTGATGTCCCGAACTGTTCGCCGAACGGTTCGCGAACGGTTCGCCGAACGGTTCGCCGAACGGTTCGCGAACGGTTCGCCACGGACTCCAGTCAGCTGACACATTCCAGCCAATCAGCAGCAGACCCTCCCACCCAGACCCTCCCACCTCCTGGACAGCATCCATTTTGAAGCTGCATTCTTTGTCAGCTGTCCAGGAGGTGGGAGGGTCTGGGAGGGAGGGTCTGCTGCTGATTGGCTGGAATGTGTCAGCTGACTGGAGTCCGCGGCGAACATTTCGGGACATCACTACTGATAATATAACTAAGCACAAAGAAATTACTTAATTACTGTCACAAAAAATTCTAAAAGCACATATATAATTGATTTTATGGCAAGACAGAAGGCTTTATATTTGCTTTACTTTCTTTACTAAATCCTCCCAGCAGCAAAGAAACAGTTAAACAATTGAGACAAAATCAATCAGAAGACATCTAGACAGTAATATGTGGCTACGAGACTCCTCCCAACTTCTCTTTCTTTGCCGCTTGCCTCCTAGTCCCAGGTGAGTCTATGCTGATTACATTGGCCTTAGTGCTGTATATTTACCTCAGTTTTTTACCATACCATTGTTTTAATTGTATTTTTGGTCTTGATTATTCTTATTACATCTTTATTGATACATCTTTATATAGATTCTCCCCTCAGGGCCGACCTCTTGTCGGTCCACAGGGTTTTTTCTTTCACTCTCGATGGCTTTTCAGCCATTTTAAAAAGGTTACTCTCTGCTCTAATTATTCCCCTCCCTTTTGGCTCAGGGTTTTTTGCTGACCGCAATCTAATCGCAGCTTTTTTCTTATCTTCACGAAACTCTACTAGTCGGCCCCACTGCCACGAGTATTGCGCAGCCTATCTGTCCGTTTTCCCGCCTTTTTTCCTG